TATGCTACTTAAAGAAATTTCCTGGAAGTTGTATATACCTTCCCATTCATCAGAGCTGGGTCATAGGGACTCATTTAGCTTGAAAGAAGACTTGAAAATCTAGTCTTTGTCCTGGATGCTCATGTGCTCAGCTAAAACTTGGGGGCCTTATTTCTGAAGAAAGGATCAGTGTATATTAAAAGACCAACAGCTATTTTGTCTTTGTCACTTAACTGTCTCAGGTTACTAAGGTCCAGGACTAAAAAAAATAGTTGATAAAATGACTCTATGGGGCCAGTGTAGTGCTTAAGGTACATAACTGACTGCAGTTTGAATCCTGTTCACAGAATCCTGGATTCTGGATCCTGGCTTGAAATTCACACCTGGTGTGTTTGCATGTATGCCCAAAATCCCGAGGAGAATGGAGGAGAAGGGACTGTGGCATGACCATACTGCCCCGGAGGGTGATGTCTTGTTTCTCTCTGTCTCTCTGGTGAGCATACACACCCTATAGCAAAAATCTCTCTTTTAAAAAAAAATGGTATGGGGGACCAGCAGTTAGCGTAATGGCTATGTCACTGGACTCCCACATAGTTGACCGTGGTTGGAGTCCCGGACCCGGCGGCTTAAACTCACGCCAGGCGCATGTGCGTGCATGCCCAAGATCCCGAGAGGAGAATGGAGGAAAAGGGATTGCGGTGTGGCCATCCCCCCTGGGGGGTGATTTCTTGCTTTCTATCTCTCTGTCTCTCTCTGTCTGTCTGGAGAGCACACGCACCCTATAGCAAAAACCTCTCCAAAAAAAAAAAAAGGTTTGGGACCAGCAGTTAGCATAATGGCTATGTCGCTGGGCTCCCACATAGTCGACCCTGGTTCGAGTCCTGGACCCAGCAGCTTAAACTCACGTCGGGCGCTGTGTGTGAATATATGTGCCCAAGATCCCAAGAGGAGAATGGAGGAGAAGGGATTGCGGCATGGCCATCCCCCCTGGGGGGTGATTTCTTGCTTTCTGTCTCTCTGTCTCTCTGTCTTTCTGGCAAGCGCACACGCTCTGTAGCAAAAACCTCTCCAAAAAAAAAAAAATGGTTTTATGTATGTCAAAAATATGCATTGAGATAATTTTGACTCTTTCTGAAGAGTGTTAGCTAGTGTGAGTATTAAAAAATTTTAGAAGCTGTTGATTTCATGAACTGACTCCAAGATCATCAAAAATTATTAATCTTGTTATATTTTTTTAAATAAAAAAGTAATACAAGAATTAACTGGCACATGACATCAAAGGCCCAGGTGACCAAAGACAAAAACAGACAATTGGACACTGTCAAAATTAAAAACTTGTGTATATCAAAGAATGATATTGACAGAGTGAAAAGACAACTCGAAGAATGGGAGAAAAACATTTGCATATCATTTCTGAGAAGGATTTGATATCAAAAGTTAATGAATAACTATAATTCAACAACAGAAAACCAAACAACTCAAATTAAAAAATGGGAAAAGGACATAGAGTAGACATTTCTTTAAAGAAAATATACAAGTAGCCAATAGCACATGAAAAAATGGTTGACATAATTAATCATTAAAGAAATGCTAATAAAAAGACACAGGAGATAGCACTTTATACCCATTAAGATGGCTATGGTAAACAAACAGTAAATAAGGGTTGGCAAGGAAATGGAGCAACTGGAACCTTTGTACATAGTTGCTGGGAATGTAGAATAGTACAACTGCTTTGGAAAATGGTATGGTAGTTTCTCAAAAACATCAAAATAGAATCACTATATGATCCAACAATTTCACTTTTGAGTATATACCCAAAAGAATTGAAATCAGATCCCCGAACAGATATTTGTACACCTGCTATAGCTTGAATATGCTCCCCCTCCACCCAATTTCATGTGTTGAGTCACTGTAATGGGATTAAGAGGGTGAAGACTTGTATGATTTCACTTACATGAGGTAACTAGAGTAGTTAAATTTAGAGACAACAAAGTAGAATGGTGATTGCTAGGGGCTGGGGAAAGGGAGTGATGGGGAGTTACTGTTTATGGGTGTGATTTTAGTTTGAGAAATGAGAAAGTTCTAGAGATGGACAGTGGTAATGGTTGCACAGTAATGTGAATGTACTTAATTCCACTGAATATACACTTAAATATCATTAAAATGGTAAATTTTTGTTACATTATATTAACACAATACAAACTGGTTAAAATGTTCTTTTTTAATGCACCCACATTTATATAATTAGATTTAAACCAATTCTAGAGATTTTTCCCAATAACTTGATGCTATTTTGAAATTTTTATATTTTTAAAATGCTTGAAAACATACGGAAAAGAGAATAATATGTAGAGACTTCTCTATCTAGTTACCTTAACCCATGTTAACAATGCAACTTATAGTATAATTTTTAATGAATTATTAGCCTATTGCCCCAATTTTATTGTAACTGTCTCCCTCCTTTCTGAGATTTTAGTACCGTCTTTATTCCAATGATTTGACAAGACAACTATAAGCTTTTCATAATTGCAAATTGAAATGAACTGGTAAAGCTTTGGAAAACCTGCTTTATAACATAGTCTACACAAGTAGCAGAATTGTGTAGACGAAGGTTTGGCAAACATTTTCAGTTAGTAGCCAGATAGTAAATATTTTAGACTTGGTGGGCCATGTTAAGCCTATTAAATATTCTTCCTTCCTTCCTTCTTCCTTTCCTTTCCTTTCTTTTTTTTTTCATGCCTTTAAAAATATAAAGCTTGTGTGGCCATATAAAAATGGGCTGTAATTTGTGTGTGCATGTGTGTGTGTGTGTGTGCACGCGCGCATGCCAGATTTGGCCCACAGACTATAATTTGCTGACTGATTCCTGGTATATTTCTTGTGAGGTCTTTCTGTTACTAAGCCATAGCTAAGAGGTATATGTGAACATCTAATTAAGATTAGCCAATCTGTAGGGTGGTCCACAACCTCTGTCTAGGTATGACTCACATAGAGTGAATGGAACCTGATGGGTCTATTTCCTGAAACTCTGACAAGAAAACATTTAGAAGTAATCAGTCTTAGGAGAAACAGAGAGTGGGTCCTAAGTCAGAGACTTAGGAGTGGCTTTCCCCTATACTGGCCTTGATTTCAGTCCCAGTCTGTATATACCATAGGTCACTTTTCCTTGAAGTGCCAGAAGAACTTGAATCATTCTCATGTCCTACAAATGTAAATAAATACAAACATTTTGGAGATAGTCTGACCGTATCTAGTAAAGTTGAATATGGGCATGCCAATGATCTTGTGATTTTAACTCTTAGCTATTTTTCCTAGGGAATTATTGTGCATATGTAGAAAAAAATATGTACAGGAATATTCAGTATGTAGTGGTGTCTTGACAGCAAACTCTGTTAACTTTGTCAGATCTTATCTTTGTCACTTACATAGCTATGTGACCTCAGACAAGTTACTTAGTTCTCTGTACCTCATTTTGCTCAACTGTGGGATAAAAGTAATTATCTAGCTGTCATAAAGTGTCATGGGAATTAAATAAGTTAATATACATAAGGTGCTGGGCACATACCAAATACTATGTGTTTTTATCAAATAATGGTAGAAAACTGAAAAGAACCCAAACTTTCAACAGATGATGAATAAATAAACTGTATTGTATTCTTATATGGAATCCTATATAGGAGTGAAAAGAATGAACTAGAGCTATATATATCAACAGGTATAAATCTTAAAAACATAATGTTAAGAGAAAAATGCAGGCACAGAACAACATATGATACCTTTATTGTAACATAAGCAAAATCATCCCCATTATTTAGAGACACATTCATAGGTAGCAAAAGTACAAGGAAAAGCAAAGGAATGGAAAAGAAACAAAACTTAGGATAGGGTAGACAGGATAACTTTTGTAAAACTTAAAGTTTGTAAGTTGGGCGGTAGGTTGTGCTTATGCTTTAAATAGAGAACAGTTAACCTCAGTGAACAAAATCTTGAAGATAAAATTTACATGGACATGAATTAATCTAGTTGAAATTCAGGAAAGAAGGATTAAAGCAAAAAAGGAAACATTTAACATGCTCTAAAAGGAATTAAGGGAGGGCCAGCAGATAGCATAGAGGTTTGGATGCTGGATCACACTTGGCCAACTGTATGGTTCAAGTCCAGACCTGGTGGCTTGAAAATCAAGGAGGACACTTGTGCATGCATGCTCAAAATCTTGAGAGGTGACTGCAAGAGAAGGGATTGCAGTGTGGCCATCTCCCTTGGGGGTGATTTCTTAATTTCTCTCTTTCTCTCTGTCTGGTGATTACACATATCTTATAGCAAAACCTGAAAAATAAAATTAAAAAACTAAATTGGTTGAATAAATTTTGCACTAGAAAAATTTTTATGACAATTTATCAGTGTTGGTATGCTTTTTTTTTTTTCTGCTGGAGCATGTGTGTGCTTGCCAGAGAGAGACGAAGAGACAGAAAGACAGCAGAGAGGGAAAGGAGAAAGCATCTCCTTATGGGGAATGGTCATGCCACAATCTCTTCTACATTTCTCTTACCTTTAGGGATTTGGGGCATACAAAAACATGTGTCCGGCATGTTTCTCAAGCTGTTAGGTCTGGAACTCGAACCATGAATTTCACCATGTAGGATCTAACTGCCTTAACCTCCAGGCCATGGAGCTGGCCTTAATAGTATACTTCTCAGTAAAATTTTTGCCTTTTAAAATTCTAAGTCAGTGTGCCCTGGTGGTCAAAATAGCTGAATCAAATCTGGTATAGTTAATAATACCTTAATGATACCATAAGCACTCAGTTTGTACAATAAGCATTACACAACCACAGGAAAAACAAGGTTTCTGACAAGAATCAGAGAAGGGAGCAGGTGTCAGAAAAACCTAAAGAATCAAATGGTTAAAATATAAAATGCCAAGAAAATTATCCATCTTTAGATATAAGAAAAATAGGAAAATACTAGGAGATACTACTAAGTTATGAGGAAAGAAGAATGAATTAAACCTTGAGTCAATCACTTGGTAGTAGGTTTTATTTACTTTCCCCAGGCTTCAATTAAGCTGGTACGTGGAGTTTAGGAGTGGACATATCTGTGGACTGCTTCACGTCCAAAAACCACCGCATACCTGGCTAATTTCCCAGGTAACAGCATATACACAGCCTTCTGGATATCTTCAGTGGTGAGGGTACAACGTTTTCTGAAATACATCAGCTTGCAGGCTTCCATAGCAATGCGCTCAAAGATGTCATTGATGATGGTGTTCATGATGTCCAAAGTACGAGATGATATGCCCCTCTGGGGAACCACTTCCTTCAGGACCCTGTTTACGTAGAGTGAATAATTTCTATGGCCAAATTTGATGCTTGAATGTGACTTCTTTTTGGAGACTGAGCTTAGATGTCTTCTGGAGCGGTTGTTCTTTTTGATGATGGATCTGGCCATTGTAGATGTTGCTCCCCTTATCGGTTATGAATGGAGAGGAGAAGGGCCTAAGACTGGGGGGGTGCTCTCCTATTTATAGTGACATGTCACAGTCAGAATGCTGGAGCTTCTTTCTGATTGGAGGTTACTTTTTCTATGTCACAATCAACTAGCAATGGCACTGATTTGTTAAGGGTGGGTCTTGTTATTGGCCAACCTGAAGCTTTCTTAAGAAGATAAAGAGTGCTGCAGAAGGATTGAGGCTGACTTCAGGGTGGAAAAGGAGTGCTCATTTTCTGTTTCTTAGCAATTTTGAAGCACACTATACAATTTTCTTAGAATTGAACAAAATCTCATTAAATTGGGGGTTGGTGGAAGGAAAGTAAAGAAAAAGATGCTTATAAGCCTTTTATGGAGGTCACTGTGTTTGTAAAATCATTCATAAATTCATTTTATAAGTAAAGGAACAGTTAAAGCATTAAAATCTCAAAATGATTATTTTATAATAAAATAACTATGTTAAAGTAAATCCATAAATAAGAGATAATTTGGTTTTAAACATTATGAACTTTAAATATGGAGCATAAATTTCTTTAGACCCTTACTCCCCAGGAGCAAGTATGTACAACTGAAAAATGCAATATAAGTTCCCTGTTTTATTGTTTTTATTACAGTGTATGAACTGTGTTCATTAACCTTTTACAGTGATACTGTTATTGTTCTTTCAACTTACACAAATTTTATCATATGGTCTGCTCTTTTTATTATTATTATTTTTTAATTTGTCAGAGGGTGTGTGTACTCTCCAGAATGAGAGAGAGAGAGAGAGAGAGAGAGAGAGAGAGAGAGAGAGAGAGAGAGAAATTGCCCTTCATCATTCTTGGTCACACTGCAGTCCTTTCTTCTCTGTCTCTTCCTCCTTTTTTGGACTTTAGGTATGCATGCACATATGCCTGGCATGCTTTTCAAGCTGCTGGGCCTTGGACTTGAACCACACAGTTGGTTACGTGGGTTCTAGCCACCTTAACCATCAGGCCATGGGCTGGCCCTCATTAACCAAAAGATACTTGTAGGGTCATTCTTGCCTATATGTCATGTTGATGTTCATGCTTTAAAAAACAAACAAAAAAAAACTTCTTTTCCTTTCTAAATCAAATGTATCCCTGAGTAAATAAAAAAAAAATAGAAGTAACAATGAAAAAACATCTTAAGAGCATTTAAATTATTTACAATCGTCATAGCTATTAATACTACCACTAAATGTCTTTAATTTTGAGCTTCTTTACAGATAAGGTAGGCTGGGCTATGTGTAATTTCTGGAGTGCTATCTGTAACTTCTTTCCTTTTTCTCCCACTTGAAAAAGTAAATCTGAAAGGAAGTGAGTAAAAATAATGTTATTATAGGGATAACTTGAATGCTGATTTCTAAAGGCAGTTATTTGTAACTGCCAACACTTTATTACGAGTAATATATCTCAGTACACTAAGATGGAGGCTGCTGCTTCCACGTCTACATTGGAATGATGGCTTTTTATTCAGCTCTTGTCAATTTTGCTTTATTTCCTCTAGATATAACTACTTAGTTTGCTTAATTATAGCATAGCTTTATTTGCTACCATTAAGAAGTAACTATTAGAAGGAGAATTCTTATTTCCTCTTCTTCAGTATCCATGTTAAAGAATCTCCACTAGCATAAAACTCCTGGTCTGTCTCTCCTGCTTACCTACTCCTTCCTGGGACAAATAACTGGCCTGATTAGGAAGGTAGAGACCAGCCAGCCCTATCTCAGCCCCTTCTGGGTTCTCACCAGGATCTGACCAGGGGTGTCCCTGGGAATGGGTCACTATTTGCTGGCTTCCCTGACTAAGGAAGACATTCTGCTTAATTCTCTGGCGCTCCACACCTAGAGCCTATTCTCCAGATGGTTTGTTGTAATCAAGTTGATATTTTAATCTCTATCTTTCAGATTCCTTTGGCTTAACTGGTTCTGTGCTTGGTTGGGGGCAGGGGGGTGGTGGTGGAAGAAGGACACATACATTATATTACAGTAGCTAAAGCAAGAGATCTTACAAAGCCAAAACATAATCTGTATGCTGAAATACTAATTGACCAGGAAGTTCAGAAAATGAAAATACTGATTCTGTTACATTTCTGACTAATTTAGGGTTATCCCAAATTATCTTTTAAAATTGAATGAATCAGTCTAAAAAAATGTCTGAGTTTAACACACCACTGTTATGCTGGGTTTTCTTTTCCTTACTTGAGAAAGGAATAATGACCTTCAAGAAATCTGCATTGTATTATTAATTTGGGAAACACAGCAAGTTTGATTACTTTACATCTATCAAATGCTTAGAGTGAATACTGTAAGAGCCTGCATCTTCTCCTCCCTTCTCATCTGCCCTCATCTTTTTTTTGGAGAGGTTTTTGCTGTAGGATGCGTGTACTTGCCAGAAAGACAGATGGACAGAGAGACAGAAAGTGAGAAATCACCCCCCAGGGGGCAATGGCCACACCACAATCCCTTCTCTACCATCCTCCTCTTGGGCTCTTGGGCACGCATGCATATATGCCCAGTGTGAGTTTAAGCCACTGGGTCCAGGACTCAAACCGCGGTCAACTGCATGGGAGTCCAACCACATAGCCATTACACCAACTGCTGGTCCCATTTGCCCTCATCTTTGAGGTCCTAGTCTTAGAATGGAGCCTGATGTACTTTGGCAGGAGATTCAACTGATTAAATCAACTGATGACCAGTGTACCAGAGACTCAGGGTCTCCACACTCATCAGATGTAGGCTGGAGTCCAATGTCAAGAACTGTTTCATGCATTTTTTCAGACTCTTATTTTAAGCTCTGTCACTGTATGGCTATTTGAGATATAGATTGTATAGTATCTGCCTTCCATGATTTAGTAAGTAAAGTTTGGAGTTACAACTGCTTATTCTTTCATCAGTAATTTAAGATCTTGCAATGACTCAAAATCACCATCAAGATTATTAGTGATTATTCCACAATAACATAACTATGGTAGAGGTGACATTTATTCAAAGAAAACATACACTGATAGATATGAGTGTACCCTGGCAATGCTGTATTAGTTTCCTATTGTTGCTGTAATGACTCACCACACATTTAGTGTCTTTACACAATACAAATTTACTCTTTTACAAGTCTATAATTTGATTTTTTCCTAAAAAATGGACAATTATCATGGATTTTAATTTTCTATGCTGTGTCTTTACATTATTGATCCAGAATTATGTTTAACAAACCATTTTATCCTTGGAATCCTAGAGGATGGCAGTAGAGGAGAGATATTCTTCTCTTCTCAAATTCCTTGTCTATCTCTTTTCTTCTGCCTGCTTTCTATTTACAAGTATTTATTGAATACCAATCATGCGGCAGGCACTGCATGAATTACACTGTGGAGACACAGAGATGAAGAATACAATTTCTACTTCTAAAAGAACTTAGGATCAGCAGGTGATGTAGCTATTAAGGTGCTGGACTCCCACATGGTCAACTGTGGTTTGAGTCCTGGACCTGATGGCTTGAAAATCATGCCAGGCATGTGTGTGTGCATGCCCAAAATCCCAAGAGGAGACTGGAGGAAAAGGGATTGCAGTGTAGCCATTCCTCCCCCTGGGTAGTGGTGGTGGGAGATCTCTCACTTTCCCTCTATTTATCTTTGATTCTTTCTGGTGAGTGCATGTGTCCTGTGGCAAAAACCACAGGGGGAAAAAAACCCTTACAGTTTACTGAAGTAAAAAGACATGTAAAAATGAATTATTATGGATAAATAAAAAAAAAAAAAGCCATGACAGGCATCTATTAGGTGTAAGCAAGAAGAAAGGGTGAGACTTACATTACTCAGCTTACTGAGGCAGACTTCTAGAAAGAGATAATGTTTCAGCTGCATCTTGAAGGGCATAGAAGTTATTCAGGCAGGTAAGGCTGGTGGTAGAATATATAAATAATGTACTTGCAGAGAAAGACATGTTTTTTATTTGTTTTTGCATGAGGATGGCAGACCCATGGCCAAGTTTGGAGCCCTTCTTATCTGGTAGTACTCGATGTGAGAGAATCTGTACTCTTTATGGAGCAGCAAAAGAAGTATGTTTGTTAGGGGAGATTACAGATTTCAGTTAAATCTAGTGATTCACAAGCCTGCATTTGGAGAGTAAAACAAAAACAAAAACAGTGCCATCCCAGGAATAGAGCCCTGACTAACTGAATTAGACTCTGCAGGGACAAAGCTCGAGTTTTATTTTATTTATTATTACTTTTCAAGTTCCTCAGGTGCGTTTCATGGGCAGCCAGGGCTGAGATCACTGATGGAGGTGACATAGTGAAAAATGTTTTAAAATATTGGGAAGTTTTTTTTTTTTTTTTTTTTTTTTTTTTTTTTTAAACCTTGGATTATAGTGAAAAAATTTTTTTAAAATTTGGGGGTTTTTTTTTTTTTTTTTTTTTTTTTTTTTTTTTTAAACACTGGAATGGGAGCTGTAAAGTACAGAAGAGAGGGTTAAGAGGAGAGGAGAAGGAGGATAGAATGATAAAAGGTGAGGTGATGAGAAGGTGAATGAGTGACAGAATGGCTCACGATGGTGACACAGGTCTGATCATGACACTTGAGTCTGGAGACATGAAGAGATGTGGACATTGATGTAAACTTGTTTCTATGCATTGTATTTAGAGGTCAAATTTCTGAAAAGTTCTTTCAACATTTTTTTTTTTTTTTTTTGCTATAGGGTGTGGGCACTCGCCAGACAGACAGAGAGAGACAGAGAGACAGAAAGTGAGAAATCACCCCCAGGGGGGTGGCCACACCGCAATCCCTTCTCCTCCATTCTCCTCTTGGGATCCTGGGCATGCATGCACACGTGCCTGGCATGAGTTTAAG